TAGCAGATAGATATAACAAATAACACATTTAAACAAGAGGTTCTTGTAGAGCACTACAGAAGTTTAGGATGTTAATACCTTCCTTAAGCTTAACCAACCCCCAAACCTTAGATTTCTCCCCGCATTGTGTTTACGATGCAAAATAGGTTTTTCCTTCTTTAACCTTCCCTTCGGACAAATTAAAGACCGATTGTGAACCAATGAATTGAGATTCAAATTAATTAATAACTTGATATCTACTTCTCACCGCGACACCTATAATTGAAGATATGAATGTCATTAGTACCAAATGGATTTTCAAGAACAAATTATAAGAAAGTGGTAATGTGACAAGAAACAAGACAAGGTTAGTGGTTCAAGGGTACACTCAAATAGAATGAGTGGACTTTGATGAGACTTTTTCTCCAGTTGCTAGACTCAATTCTATTAGATTACTGCTAGGAATTTCATGCATAATGAAATTCATACTGCATAAATGGATGTTAAAAGTGCTTTCCTGAATGGTTATCTTAATAAAGAAGTATATGTAAAGCAACTAAAGAGGTTCATTGATCCTAGTTTTCCAAATCATGTATACAAGTTAAAGAAAGCCCTTTATGGTGTTCAACTCAACGTTTTTCTCAGAATGGGAAATGAGAAAGGGTCATCCTGCACGTTGCGGTAAAGAAACAATCTTTCATGCATGTTATTTGATTAAAAAGATTGTTAACAGTGTTTTATGTGTTTCAGGGATTATGAAGCATGACTGAGGGAAAGGAAGATGATGGATGATCAACTCCAACAGTGGTATGTGGAAGAAGCGAATGCTAATGAAAAATAGAAAGAAAAATGTACGATGAGAGTTCAACGGGATGTTGGGTTGGTGGATATGACCACTGATCAACCAACTAACCTTCTGATTCTTCATAACATCGGTGGAAAAAAACAAGGTTAGAAAATAGTGTGGTTGTTTTTCATATGGTGTATTCCGAAGCACTGTCTTGAAGCGCATGCATTAAATTAGTGTATAAATAACCACAACGAAGAAATAGGTTCATGAGTTGAAGTTAACATAATAATCTAACATTATTTTTTTTGTAACACCAATATTTCAAATCCAAATGATAATATATAAATCTAATATGGTTGAACAAATTTCAAGAAGTAATTGTTTGAAGTAATAGGTTTGGAACATGCATGATAATGAAAACATGTTTACTGACATATATAGTAATGAATGATGTTGTCTTAACTAAAAGTTTTTATTCATGTTCTATTTGCTAAACATTAGTTTCATATATGTTATATTATGAAGGTTCTGAGCCTGGTTTTGTTGAGGTTAATAACTATATTAAATTCATAATTTGAGTCAAGTTCTTTTTCTGGCTTATCTTTGATCTTATAGAACATGCATGAAAGTGATACATGTGTTAGTGACATATATGTTGTGCAAAGGGATAATATATGTGTATTATAATTAAGTTCTCTGTGGTTAATTATTGTTATAATGGAGTTGAACCTCCAACACAATTTATTATTGAAACAATGAAGAAACCAAATGAAAAACCAAACACAAATGTTGGGGTAGGTATGTTGGGCATACAGTTGACGACGTGTTATTCTAAGGAGCATCATAACTCAGGTGAGGATTCAGATGATGATTCTAACGAAGAGTCGTACGATGAAGAGTTTTCCTGGGAAATAATCATGAGCTCTAGATATACAACAAAAAAGAATGTCATGGTATGTCGCATAATTAGCAGCATATCTTTAAAATTGTCAAATTTCAATATTTCTACTGATATAGTTTTGTGTCCATAATTTCAACAGCATTTTCCCAAAGTGGTTACAGAGAGATGTCTATGCTAGACCTAGAGAATGATTGACTTAATTGATTTGGACACAAGCAAACTCTAAGTTGACAAAATACACAGTGCAAGGCGTAAAAATTAAATTGTCCATAACGAGAAGTTCATCGGTCATGGGTGGTATGAGTATGCGAATAATAAGAACCTGAAAACTGAAGACAAACTTGACTTTACTATTGGCTATCCTCCATATCAGATGTATGTTTCAATCTTAAACAAATGAAAATGTTGTGTTTCACACATGTTTTAGAACCTAGATGCAATTAATTTTTTAGGACATGCATGCTGTTTTATTTTGTTGAAGTAAGTAATGTGTAACACGAGGTGCAATGAAGTGATATATTATGTAAGGGTGATAGAAGTCATAAACTTAATTTGTTTTTACATGCCTGCTGTTTTTGGATTCAGATTCTTTAAATTGTTAAATGTTGATGCAGGATCTGTGTTAAATAAAAAGGTTTTGATGCAGCATATTCAAATATTGAATTATGCAATATGGTTTAATGCAGATTCTTGAATTTTTTTGATTTATATGACTTAAGAGAGTAATTAGGTGAAACTAATGTTAAAATGAGAAACAAATGCGCGTCATTGACGGATACTCGTGCAAACGCACGGGTACCCGCTAGTGTGTGTATATATACATGACATATCTTAAGAGAATGTCATATTTATGTGAGAACGTGATAATTAATCTAAACCATTAGATTTTAAAAACGAATGGTTGAGATTATCTGTGATTTTTATTTTTTCTCTTCTCCATTATTAAAATAAATGATGAAGGAGAGAAAAAAATAATACATAATCTCCACCATTTATTTTAAAATCAACGATTCATATTCATTCTCATGTTCTCACATAAAAATGACTTTCTCATATGATACGTCTTATCTCTCATATATATATATATATATATATATATATATATATATATATATATATATATATATATATATATATATATATATATATATATATATATATATATATAATATAATCTAGTGTTTAAGTTAACAATTTTACTTATAATCATTCGATTAAATCTAATATAAAGGCTATGATGGTGGAATAACTTATAAAAACTTACTATTGAAGTGAGTGAATCCGGACTATATGAGAAAATGAGAACGAGTAAGAACTATCAGATTTAAAAAGTAAAGGTTGAGATTAAAAGATATTTTTAATGATTTTTATTTCCTCTTAATGGCACATGATTTAGTGGAAACCACGATTTAATTTCAATATTTCCTTTTTAAATTTGATAAATTACCACATTTTCATATAGCTTATCTATTTTATATATATATATATATATATATATATATATATATATATATATATATATATATATATATATATATATATATATATATATATATATATATATATATGTCTCTGTGTGTGATTTTTTTATTGAAATATTTAATAAATTCTATTTTTTATTATTATTAAAAATATTTATTTATTTTTTTAATTTTAATAGAATAAAATACTCAATAGTCGTAATAACAATTAATTTTCTATTTTATTGATCACTACTAGCACAATAATTATTTTATTTTTATCAACAATTAATATTATTTAACAGACAAAAAAATTATTTTTAAATATTAGTTTTTTCTTTCTCAATTTTTTGATATGATTATTCTATATTACAATTGAATTTATATAATTATTATTTATTATTTATTTATAATTAAATAATTGATTTTAAATTTATACATATACTTAAATAATAATTTTTTTATCCTATCAAATAAATTTATCAGTAAGATTTATAATTAAATACGAGTGTATAATTTTTTTTATTAATAAATTGTCAGTTGCCAGAGCATAAATGGGTGGATTTATTAGTTATTTTTATAAAAAATAATTGACTTACCAGTGAGAAAAATTAGGTTTGAAATTTTCATCAAATTATATTATTTTTTAAAAGGGAAAAAAACTTAATTATATTAAAATTATTTTACATTTTTAATCAATCAACAATATTTCACTAAATTACAATAATATTAAAAAGTATATTAATAATTTGACAATTTATTAATTTTTCACCGGATGATATCATCATATCCATTACACTTAATTAATATCTCTTAAATTCAAATTGCATCATGAATAATTAAATTTGGTGGTCAATTAGGACTAATTTAAAAGATTTGGTTTGATTTAAAAATTAAATTAAATTATGATTTGAGCAAATTTAAAATTACAATTAAAAACAATTATTTAATTATATTTTGAATTATAAAATTGAAAATAAACGAATTTAAATAAAAGATAAAACAAAGTTTAAAGGAAAAATATAATAAAGCTTATACTATCTCTTTATATATTAATGTTAATATGAAACCAATGCACCTGGTCTCCTTTAATACTTAAAATGTTGATAAAAATCGTCAAAATTGTAAAAATTTATTCTTATTTTAAAAAGTTAAGTTATTTAATTAAAAAATTTATATCCCTTACATTATTTGAATAAATAAAGAAAAACAATATTATATATAAAGTAATTTAATTAAAAAATAAAATTGAATTTAAAAATCTATACCAAAGTTCAATATTTTTTACAAGAAAAATAAAATCAACATTCTAGAACATTAAATTCACACTAGTAACTAAGTTAAATGTATATTTACAATATCAATATGAATATAAAGACAATAATTATTTTAATTAATTTGAGAGTCATTCTTAACATGGTTTTTTAACCTATAAGAAGAACACTAATATTTTACAAAATCATAAAATTTTAAATTTGAATAATTTTGAATGAAGTTTTTAAAATATACCAAAATCATAAACATAATTTAATTATTATTTTTTAATTAACATGTTTTAATTCATTAGTAGTTTATATCTAAAAAAAAAAAGTTTGAGAATATAGATGAGGGTAATATGGTAATAGCAAAAAAGGAGAAATACGCGTGATAGATGAGGGTTCCGTGTGATGCTGAGAGTCGGTTACTTTCGCTATAAATACAACCCTTTACCCTAGCTTTTTCTCATTTGCCATATGCCATTCAGATCTTAGGGTTTCTCTCTGCTTCGCCCCCTTTTATCGCCGCCACAGATCTTAGGGTTTTCTCTCTCGAAATCAATCAGATTTTTATCTTATCTCTTCAATTGAAGACACTCACTCTTTCATCGAACATGTCTCGTTGCTTCTCTTTCCCACCTCCAGGGTATTTGAGGAATACCGATACCTTGATCGAAGAATCGATTAAGGTTTGTTGAGCCAATTTCGATTTTGCGTTTGTGCTCAACTTGCTGTGATTTTGATTTATTTTTTGTTTGTTTTATGACATAATAACATGCGAGAGCCTGTTTCTTTTTCAATTGATCGGTAGGGTTTTCTTTGATTTCGAACAATGATTGATGGTTATGATTAGTATTATTTAATCTGAACGAAATTGTTTAAGAATTGGGTTTCGATTTGTTACAACCATCTGGGATTCTTGAATCGAGACATGTGAATTTGTTCTGAGTAGATCTCGATTATATTGATTAGGGTTTTCTTTCGAAGTTTGTTAAATGGGTTTTTAATAAAATATTTTGTAAAATGATGACACATTAGGGTTTGACAAGCCCTTGTATTTCTTTTTGAAATGATTTGTTGGTGGGTGTTTATGTGACTTTAATTTTAACTACTTTTCTCAAATCTTGTACCAATTTTATCAGTAGTCGTCACTTGTATTCATGTAGGAGTTTAGGTTTCTACGAGTCATTTTGTATTTATGTGACTGATAATGCTTGATATGAGTAAGATATAGATAGTTAGTATTATGTGTAGGTAGTTATTCTTGACATCAATAGTCATTGTTTTTATGTAGGTAGTTCTTGATCTTCTGTTACTATATTGTGGCATGATACTTAAGAGAATTGATTACTTGATTTTTTCCCTATCTGGTCTTGAAGCAAGATTTAAATGCTTGCATTTAGAATGTTTGCTTCTTTAGTATTCGCAATCCTCTATTTGAAAATCTTGTTATGGTGCTTTAAAGATCCAATTGGATACGGAGAAGCCCATTAAAGGCAGGAAGGAGAAAAAAGACAAGAAGAATAGGAATGAGACTAAGGAGGAAAGGAAGTTGAGGAAGGATAAGAAGAAGGAGAGGAAGGAGAAAAGGAAAAGGGAGGAAGAACAAGCTAAAAAAGATTCAAAGCTCAAGCTTACGAATGAAGTGACGGAGCCAAAAGACAATGGGAAGTTGCAAAAGGGTGAATATTATGAGAATGAATATTTTGAGAAGAGTGATATTACAGAGGAACTTTGCAAGCCCGTCTCTTCTCCTCAAGAGCCTTACTCATCTGACAGCTCTCAAAGCAGCAAGAGGAAGAGGGACACCTTGTTACCTAGCAAAGATCAGGGTGAGTTATCTATAAGATTGAATAATTGCATTGTTCAGCTTATGTTGTAAACGATCTAAAGTCTACTCTTATGTGAAACAGGAACAGGCTTTAGAATTCGACTACCATTGAGGAAACATAGAGAATCTGAAGAAGTTAAACAAGGATTTAAATTGGGTTCTTCTTCAAGAAGTGTTGGAATTTCAGATTCAATTATTCAGGAAACAAAAAGAGTTCAACTGCCATTGAAGAATGTTGAGACCCCAAATAAGCTGGTTGGAACTTCTGCTTCCCAAAATTGTAGGCCAATAATGAAAAAAGTTGAAGCTCATTCTTCCTCCCAAGGTTTCAGACCACCGCCTAGAAGAGTTGGTACCCTCCTCCCTGGAAATTCTGCTTCCCGAGTTTGCAGACCACCAGTGAAAAAAGTTGAAACCCTCTTCCCTGGAACTTCTGCTTCCCAAGTTTGCAGACCACCATTGAAAAAAGTTGAAGCCCTCCTCCCTGGAACTTCTGCTTCCCAAGTTTGCAGGCCACTATTGAAAAAAGTTGAAACCCTCCTCCCTGGAACTTCTGCTTCCCAAGTTTGCAGACCACCGTTGAAAAAAGTTGAAACCCTCCTCCCTGGAACTTCTGCTTCCCAAGTTTGCAGACCACCGTTGAAAAAAGTTGAAACCCTCCTCCCTGGAAATTCTGCTTCCCAAGTTTGCAGACCACCATTGAAAAAGGTTGAAACCTTGCTCCCTCGAAATTCTGCTTCCCAAGTTTGCAGACCACCATTGAAAAAGGTTGAAACCCTCCCCCTTGAAAATTCTGCCTCGAGGGAAGAAGCTACCCCGAATCAGCACCCTGTAAGTTCTACCTCCAAAGTTTGCAGACCACCATTGAGTAAAGACCAGTCACCTAGTCAGCTCAATGTAAATTCTTGTTCCAAAGTTTGTAGACCACCATTGCAGAAAGATGAGACTCGTAGTCTGCTCGAAGTTTCCAAACCATTGAATAGTTTGGATCCACCTTCCAAGCCATTGAAAAATAAAACAGTTGACAAAGAAAGTCTAAGAATGGAATCTTTATATAATTCCTTACTTAAAATTCCTCCGGTAACGTATTATTTTGATTCAATGGATCAAGATTGGTTATTTAGTTCTGCACTGACAGAAGCAAAGCCTGTATCCAAGAAACAGAAGATTGATGATGCCATTCAGTGTTCAAAATCTCTATGGCCTTCTAGGGCTCAATATATGCCCGAGGTTGAAATGTATGCTTTGCCTTACACAGTTCCATTTTGATTCATATGGAAAATTTTTTGTAGGCCTTAGAGTTAGCTTTTTTAGAAGCCAGTGTTCTGCAATATTGAAAGAACTCTTGCATAATTTTTTTCAAACTGAAAATACATCTATACAGATATCATTGTGGCACAGAATGAGATACATATGTTTTTTGTCAACATGATTGATTATTGATGTACGTTTTACTTCGATACCTGATCCTAGCAGTGGTATTGGGATAACGACTTTTTATTGTCAACATGGTCTTGTACATAATGTGAAAAAATAACAACTTTTTATTCATTTATTATTTTCTTTTAGTGTATTTGATTGTGATAACGAAAACTACTTATTTGAAGTTTTTTATGTTTGAGAGAAGGCCAAAATTTTATTAACTAATGATTAAGGCATAAGTTATGATGACGTTACAAACATATATAATGAACTAGATACCACCTGAAGCCTACATTCAAAATTACTCACTTAATTGGACCAGCCCATCACCACCAACACACTACACTGAATTTACAAACCCAGCCCCTACAAGAAAAACTAAACTTAACTCAAACCAACAGCACCAAAAGCCTCCACAACCTGAACCTTTGAGATTCAATCACTGTACCCCCCTAAATCACAGCCCCACCACGCACTGCATCAGATGAGGCAAAGCTACAAACCCAAAGTCTGTAGTCTAACAGCAAACCAGAATGAAATGCTTGAAAAGCTACCTATCCATACTTCAAAAAACTAAAACTGATTGCCTAACTCCAAACATCCGCCAAGCAATATATGAAACACAAACAGACCAAAACTGATTGTCTGTGACACAAAGTTAAGTGTTACACATGATTCTTAATTGACACTTAAATATGTATACATCATATTTATAGTATTTGTTCAATGTTATAAACTATTAAAGCTTAAAGAGTCTTTTGGTCTATGTAAGTCAACATATTTTTTATTTTAGTCCTTGATTTTTTTTTTTGAGTCCTTAAATCTCACTTTCTTGTTGATGTTAGTCCTTAATGTTAAAGTTCTGTTAAAAAAATCCAATGTGGCAAATCATGATGACGTGACAATTGTTTCACCCTCTTTGATTAAAATACAATTGCCTTTACCAATCGTCAATCACCTACACTTGTTTAATATATGCACCAAAATTTATATATTTAAAACTTGATGTTTAAAATTGATTTCTGCATCTGGTAGTACCTGCAAGCTGTACAAGATTAAATTTCATTTATCTTCATGAGTTTGTATGGATTTAAGTAAATAGAGTAATCTCATGAGATGAAGTTTATTTCATTGTCAGGTCACAACAAAGAAGGCATACGAAGTAGAAAACTGAATACTTACTAGTTAAATACTTTATTTCTAATGTTAGTAAAGAGTTATTTAGTTGCACCATTGATTTAAAATCTTTTATTATGAAACCAAGTAAATAAATTGTAGTAAGAGAAACTCATAATTAGGAACTAAAACCCAATAAATGCAGTAGCAAAAACTCATAAATAGGGACCAAAACCAAAAAAATGCAGTAGCAGAAACCCAAAATTAGGGATATATATATATATATATATATATATATATATATATATATATATATATATATATATATATATATATATATATATATATATATATATATATATATATATATATATATATATATATATATATATATATATATATATATATATATATATATATATATATGGATTAAAACAAAAAACACGCCAACTTACAAGAACAATTAGACTATATAAGTCCAATTTTTTTTCATCCCTAACCTTAATAGAAGCAGAAGAAGAATGCAATGATATTAAAGAGATGAAAAAGAAGACAATGATATTGAAGAGAGGAAGAAAAAGTTGCAAAATCATTCAAATTTTGAATTTCATCCCTCATTTAAAAACTCCCATGTTGCACTTACACATGTAATAAAATGTGTCATAAGAAAAATAAAAATAAAACAATTGGCACGTCAGCACTGTTTGCCACATTGGCTTTTTTTAATAGAACTTTAACATTATAGACTAACATCAACGAGAAAGTGATATATATTACAGATAACAAAAGTTAGTTAAGTTAGTTAAGCAACTAACAACAGTTTGTTAGCAGTTAGTTAAGCAACCTTCTTCTCATTGTTTAGTTTTGAGATTCTTCTATATAAGCATGTAATGAGCTCTTCATACTTAATACAAGAACTCTCCAATTATATGGAGTATTTCCTTCTATCCCTTTCATATTTTTCTTCTTCACATTTCCTACTATGAATTCTGTTAAGAATTCTGTTACGCACAATATGGTATCACGCGCCTTTCCGATCCTACTTCTGCTTTCTCTTGCATGACTTTGTTTCAGCCTCTATGGCACCTTCTTGTTCTTCTATCGTTGATCATGTCATGGATCCAACTTCTCTTTTTTTCGTTCATCCAAATGATGGTCCCGGTTCCGTCACTGTTCTTCCCAAGCTTACCGGATCCAATTATCATTCATGGGCTCGATCGATGAAAAGGGCACTTAGTGGCAAGATGAAGATCGAGTTCATTGATGGCTCTCTACCAGCTCTATTAGATCCTTTCGATCCGTCAATCCGAGCTTGAAATCGATGCAACATGCTGGTTCATTCTTGGATCATGAGTTTTGTTTCAGATTCCATTGCTCAATCTATTGTTTTCATGGAAAACGCTATTGACGTGTGGAATGGCCTCAAAGAAAGATTCTCCCAAGGAGATCTCATCCGCATCTCTGAACTTCAGCATGAAATCTACCATCTCAAACAAGAATCAAAACCGGTAACTGGATTTTTTTCTGATCTCAAGATTCTTTGGGAAGAACTTGATCTGTACTTACCATTGTCTATGTGTACATGCCGCATCAAATGTTCTTGTGAAGCTATGCGTCGAGCTAGAACAAATAATGAAATGTTACGTATAATTCGTTTCTTAACTAGTATGAATGACCAATTTGTTGTTGTCAAGTCTCAAGCGTTGTTAATGGATCCTTTACCTCCTATAAACAAGATTTTTTTCCATGGTCATTCAACATGAAAGGCAAGTACAACTCCATCCATAAATTGATGAATCTCAGTCTTTGATCAATGTTGCAGATTCCAAGAAGTTTGGATCAAAACCAAGTTTTTCTAAAACTGGAAATCGTGTATGCACATTTTATGGTAAAACTAATCACATTGTTGATCATTGTTTCAAGAAACATGGTGTTCCTCCACATATTCCGAAACAATTTCCAGCTGCAGCCAATAACACCGCAACTGAGAGCAATGATGATGGATATATTTTCCATAATATTGAAACTAAAGATGATAATTCTCCTATGACTCAAGGCCAGTTCAACTTGTTAATGGATCTGCTACAAAAATCTAGCCTTGGTCAGATGACAGGACATGCTTCTTCCTTAAACCAAGTTGTTGTTGGTCATTCATCAACAGGTAACATGCGTCACAATAGTCATATTAGTAGTCTAGGCTCATGGATCATTGACTCAGGGGATACTAATCATATCAGTAGTTCCATTGACTGGTTTCATACATATAAAGAAATAGTTCACATTGATGTCAAATTGCCAAATAGACATTATCTTGTTGCTAGATATTCAGGCACAATTAAATTTTCCCCTGAATTATCTGTTTCAAATGTTTTATTCATTCCTGAATTTACTTTAAACTTGTTATCTGTTTCAAAAATGTGGGATGGATCTAACATTGATGTCAAAATTTTCAAACCCAAATGTATCATACAGGACACAATCAAGAAGAAGATGATTGGTTCTGCTGAAAAGAAAGGTGGGTTGTACTACTTAAAGCTAAGAGATAATGATTTGCTTGTCAGTACTGAACCTAAGCATTCTTTAGCAACCTTGCCTGATCGAGCTCTTTGGCATTTTAGATTAGGACATCTATCACACAACAGACTATTGTACTTACATTCTCAATTTCCCTTTATCACTGTTAATAACAAAGATATTTGTGATGTGTGTTGTTTTGCTAGACATAGAAAGCTTCCTTATAATGTTAGTAATAGTAGAGCTGCACACCCTTATGATTGACTCCATTTTGACATTTGGGGCCCTCTTTCTATCAAATATTTAGATGGTCATTCATACTTCTTAACAGTTGTCGATGACTGCAGCAGACACACATGGATAGCCCTTATGAAGTCCAAGTCTGAAGCTAGACAGCATGTCATAAATTTTGTCAAACTTATTGAAAACCAAACAGATAAATGTGTCAAAATCATTAGGACTGATAATGGTCCTGAATTCACCATGCCTGAATTCTATGTCTCTAAAGGCATTTTACATCAAACAAGTTGTATGGAATCTCCGCAACAAAATGGTAGAGTGGAGAGGAAACATCAACATCTTTTGAATGTAGGCAGAGCCCTCTTGTTCCAATCAAAACTTCCAAAACCATTTTGGTCTTATGCTGTTTTACATGTTGCTTTCATTATCAATAAACTTCCTACATAAGTTCTTAATAATCTTTCACCTCATTTCATTTCACACAATGCTCCTCCTGATATGCACAGTCTGAAAGTTTTTGGTTCATTAGCATATGCATCAAGTCTTCATATGCATAGAACAAAACTTGCACCAAGAGGTAGGAAATGTGTTTTTCTAGGATACAAAAATGGTATGAAGGGTGTTGTACTCTATGACCTTGATAATCAAGAAATCTTTGTGTCTAAAAATGTTACACATCATGAATATATCTTTCCTTACTTAAACAAAAACCCTCCTACTTGGGAATATCACTCTCATTCTGATTCCAACCATAATCACCATACTAGCCTTGATGATGAACCTAGGCATTCTCTATACATTCATCCTGAAAATCCAGCACAAGAACATTCAGAATCTCACCCAGATCAGACCATTTCAGAAAACAATGGTATTGATCATACTCAGAGCCCAAATCAACAAGTAACAAATTCTGACCCTGTCCCACAAACCATACCTGTTAGAAATAGATTGGTTCCTCATTATCTCTCCGATTATGTGTGCAACACCTCTAATGTTTCAGTAGATACAACATCTTCAGGTAAAAGTTCAGGTTATCCTATTTCTAAATATGATTCTTTGTTTCATCTCTCTGCATCACATACATGAGCCAAAGATTTTAAAGAAGCATGTTTATCTGAACATTGGATCAAGGCCATGAAATCTGAGTTGGATGCATTACACAAGAATGAAACTTGGGACATAGTTGATTTTCCACCTCATGTCAATCCTATTGGAAATAGATGGGTCTTCAAGGTTAAGTATAGAGAAGGTGGCGCGATAGAGAGGTATAAGGCCATACTGGTTGCCAAAGGATATAATCAGATTAAGGGATTAGATTTCTTTGACAAATTCTCCCTTGTAGCAAAGCTTACCACTGTTAGGACACTCCTTGCAGCAGCTACTATAAATAACTGGTTCTTACACCAACTTGATGTGAACAATGCCTTTTTACATGGAGATTTGCAGGAAGATGTATACATGATAATTCCTGAAGGTGTTCCATGTGCCAAATCCAGCCAAGTGTGTAAGCTTAACAAAAGTCTATATGGATTAAAGCAAGCCAATCAAAATGTTTTAGCATAGAGGATCTAAGAACTTTGAAGTACTTCCTTGGTCTAGAAGTTGCTCACTTAAAGGAAGGAATTTGTTTGTCCTAAAGGAAATACTGCATTGATCTCTTACAAGAATCAGGATTGCTTGGCTCTAAACCAGCAGCAACACCACTAGATCCTTCCATCAAAATTCATGCTGATGGTGAAAAATCCTTTGAAGACATTGGAACGTATAGGAGGATGATTGGTCGTTTGTTATACCTGAACACAACTCGACCAAACATCATGTATGCCATGCAACAACTGAGTCAATTTCTTCACCACCCTACTATGGCTCATTTTCATGCTACTTGCAGAGTCATTAGATATCTCAAGAATAGTCCCGGCCGAGGTTTCTTGTTTAGCAGAAAATCAGAACCTTAGCTCACTGGCTTCTTAGATGCTGACTGGGCAGGATGTCTTGATTCACGAAAATCCATATCTAGTTATTGTTTCTTCATTGGTTCTTCCCTCATTTCATGGCGCACTAAGAAACAACAAACGATTTCTCGATCCTCTTAAGAAGTTGAATACCGGGCATTATCATTTGCTACTTGTGAATTACTTTGGTTAACTTTTTTAATGAAGGAACTACACATTTCTTTCTCAAGAGTACCTGTCCTATACTGTGACAGCCATAGTGCAATGCATATTGCCTCTAATCCCGTATTCCATGAACAAACTAAACACTTGGAAATTAACTGCCATCTAGTGCACGAAAAACTTCAGCAAGGCTTACTTAGACTGTTTCCCATCTCAACTAATGATCAACTTGCAGATTTCTTGACCAAAGCTTTACCAACATCAACTTTCAACAAGTTTGTTTCCAAGCTTGGCATGATCAATATTCACCATGCTTAGCTTGGGGGAGGCTATCATAGTTAACAAACGTTAGTTAAGTTAGTTGCAGTTAGTTAAGCAACTAACAATAGTTTGTTAGCAGTTAGTTAATCAACCTTCTTCTCATTGTTTAGTTTTGAGATTCTTCTATATAAACATGTAATGAGTTCTTCATACTTAATACAGGAACTCTCCAATTATATGGAGTATTTCCTTCTATCCCTTTCATATTTTTCTTCTTCACATTTCCTGCTATGAATTCTGTTAAGAGTTCTGTTATGCACAATAATATATATGAAATCAGACAAAAAAAAAGATTCAAGGATCAAAATCAAAAACAGGTTAACTTACCATGGACCAAAAGACTATTTAAGCCAACTATTTATAACTTAAAAAATATTTTGAGACGAAAATGATCGAATCATAATAAATATATTAAATATAAATATCGGTAGACTCATTAAGTCACACACACATACGCACACGCGCGCACACACACAACACACACATAACCTCTCCCAAGAATATGTTTTTTATTAGAAATGTACATGATTTTTAAAAGGCTTAATATATGTTTTATATCATTAACTTAATTTAATATTTTCCTTTAGTCCATTAACTAAAAAACGTTACAAGTTAAGTTCTGGTCTCTTCCGTCAATTTTTGGGAAAAAAAAGTTAAATTCTAGTGACGTGGCATGACATCAATATCATTGATACAAATTTGAGTCAGCATATGTAGTTAAAATCTACTCCCTCCGTCCCATAATAAACGATCCATTTGAAATAAAAGAGTGTTTCAAAATAAATGACACACTTCAATTTCTAACACACATTTCAATTTTACCCTCTAATTAATATTACTTTCATCGTTCCCAATATATGATAATGATACTTTAGTAAAACTATCATTCTCTCTCTTTCATTTATTCATTTTTCTTAATATATGTGAAATGGTCATTTGAGTCACTTATTGTAGGATGGAGAGAGTAACACACTAGTTAAACTATGAGAGTTTTGTTTTCGGGAGAACCATGTAATTTAAACATGCATATGCTGAATTAAATTTGTACCAATGAGTTTCCTGTTACGCCATATCACCAGAACTTATCATTTTTTACAAGAAATTGACGAAAGAATTAAATAAGATAACAAATGTGAAATATAAGGATTAACTTGTAACGTTTTTTAATTAATGTAATTCTGTTGCAGGATAATGGTCAACATGACCTCGAGGCAAATAGTTTGTTGGTTTTGGATATATTATAGCAAACGAAGGTGCCATTAAAAGTGAAGATCTTTGGTTGACGCCTAAATAGGCTCCTTACGCGTAATAACTTGACAAATAGAGGGATTATCACTAATGTTCATGATAAGGTTTATGTTTCTTGTTTCCAAGTTGATGAACATAGTGACCATATTTTCTTGTCGTGTCCTCGTATTATCTTGGTATGGAAGGAGATTGCGAATTGGATTGACATACTATTTATTGTGCAGGATAATTATGGTGATCACATGTTGACTTGATTTTTGGAAGCAAATCAGATAAATGTGAAATTGAATGCATGCTTGCTTTGGTTGACTACAACTTGGAGCATATGGTGGACAAGAAACTAAGTGATCTTCAATGATGGAATAACAAATCCCAATGATATTTTTCATAGAATTCAACATGTCTCGTGGTGGTGATTGACTCTTAATTCAACTAACAATATCAAATGTAATTTTTATGATTAGTTCAAATGTCCGTCAATTTTTTTTATAATAAACTCGATTACGTTTTAATCGTTGTATGTATTTGTTGGTACTATATAAGCTAAACTTACTGTTGTAGCTCAGATTAAGGTATCCTTTGTATCCCAATAGAATACAATTTGGTTAAAAAAAAATTAATTAATAAACTAATAAACTAAAACGTAACAGTAAATTAAATTTAATTAAGGAATTAAAACGAAACATTAAACTTTATTCAATTTTAATCCCTATTTTCAAACAATACTTTTATACGATTTTCTTAAAAGTATCCTAGAGGAAAGCGTGTGATTGCTCAATGCTTGAGTTGTTTACTTTCATCAAAAACAGTTAAATACAAATCACTTTTATCGCAAGTAGCAGTTAGCTTTTGGCGTGTCACGCTGTTGGGTTGGGTGGGCTTCGTTTTTACCACTCCATTCACCGTGATTCAAACGGCGTCACGTCAACTATCTTCTCCATAGATTCAATTCAACTCTTCATGTTTTGAAACCCTAACCTCTTCTCGTGGCGTCTTCTCCGAGCGATCTCACCAATTCCATCAGAAATGATTGCGAAAGACATCCACGACGAAGAGAAATGGCTCGCCGAAGGGATCGCCGCTATTCAACACAACGCATACTTCATGCATCGCGCTCTGGTAGTTCTAGTTATACCTACTGTTACTTACTTTCATTAACTAATTCTCAGTTTGCTATTCCTTCTTCATGAATTGAATCGCATTTCAGGATGATGACAATCTCAGAGATTCACTCAAATACTCAGCGATGATGCTTTCTGAACTTCGAACCTCTAGGCTTTCACCTCATAAATATTATGAACTGTGTAAAATTCTTCTTCACTTGTTCATATACTACATTTTACTCTATCTTTTGATTAGGTTTCATTCCATTGTTGTTCGTATGTATTTTTATTTTTTATTTTTTTGCTTAAGATATGAGAGCCTTTGATGAGCTACGGAGGTTGGAGATTTTCTTTAAAGATGAAAGTAGACACGGAGTTTCAATAGTTGATCTGTATGAGCTTGTTCAACATGCTGGGAATATATTGCCTAGATTGTAAGTGGTTTTTGCAATCAACTTTAATTTTTGATACTTTCAAACATTGCTTGTGCTTCTTAGTTGAGCTTGAATATTTTTGCGATTTCAACTATATTCTTGCTGTTATTTCTGATTGGCTTAGATGAAAGAAAATGGTGCTTGATTGTGTGATACGAGTGGGGTTACACTACAGAATTTAGAGAGAGAAGTTATAACTATAAGAAATGAAATTGATAATATTATTCATTGTTTATAATTATGAGACCATACAATGCATGTATAAGTTGATGCGCACACCCATAGTAAGATAGCTACATCAACCACCCAATAATCGTGCTACCAAATAAACTAATATGATATGCCTAAAAGATCCTTCTAGAGTAAACTTGTCGAGTCATTATTCTTTTGGTTTCAAAGACCCTATCACTGCGTTTCTAAATGAATGTGACGCTATTGCTGTTAATGTACTATCAGGTATCTTCTTTGCACGGTTGGTTCCGTTTATCTTAGATGTAAGGATACTCCTGTGAGGGACGTTCTTAAAGACCTGGTGGAAATGTGTCGCGGTGTTCAGCATCCGATTCGTGGTCTGTTTTTGAGGAGTTACCTTTCTCAAGTTAGTAGAGACAAGTTGCCTGATATTGGTTCTGAATACGAAGAAGGGTGAGGCCATTTTTACTTGGTTGTTGTAATGCATTAGTAGTTTTTGAATGTAGTTTTTGAATATATTGTGTTAGTCTATATTCCTAATTTGCTTATAGATAGCTGTTGAAATAATAATATTTGATTCAGAATACTTCCCTTCCTACATCATACATGTAATTATGTCTTTTGTTTCAATTTTGAATCTGGAAAAATATATATTTTGGCAAAGCATTAAATGATTGAGAATTGAGTATGGATGCTTTTGCCTGCAGGGACTATGGCAGTGTTAAGGATGCAGTTGAATTTGTTCTGGAGAATTTTTCAGAAATGAACAAGCTCTGGGTTCGATTGCAACATCAGGTTCTTTGAGCTTCTTTCACTCTTATCTTTGTCTTACAAGATACATAGCACCACAGTACTTGCATGCCATAGCCATAGAGGTAAAAATAAATCATGAAAACATGATTTCTGGCCATGCAGGTGTTATGGTGCTTGTGAATCATGCTTAATCTTTGGTGCTCCTGAGCTCAGGACTTCAATTGGGCTTTCTGGTCTGCAGGGACCTGGTCGGGTAAAAGAAAAGAAGGATAAAGAAAGAAACGAACTTCGCGATCTTGTAATACAAAAATATGATATTATCTCCTTATGAAGCCGTGTGCTAGACCTTTGTACAGATAAGTTACACATTTTTCCTGTCTCAAATTATTAGGTAGGGAAAAATCTCCACGTTTTGAGTCAGATAGATGGTGTGGACCTTGAGATGTACAAAGAGACTGTCCTTCCAAGTGTTCTAGAGCAGGTCTATTAAAGTATTTTTTCTCCCCAAAAAAGTATACTTTTCCCTCTTATTTAGCCTTGATTTTACAATGGCTCTCAACGGTCTAAATTGGCTTGAGCAGGTTGTCAACTGTAAAGATGAGCTTGCCCAATTTTATCTTATGGAGTGCATAATCCAGGTTTTTCCAGATGAATACCACTTGCAGACACTTGAGACACTCTTAGGTGCTTGCCCTCAATTGCAGGTGAGCAACATGCTTATATTGGAAATAAATGACCCTTTATGTGTTTGTGATTTGAAAAGACATTCTAGCGGTGACCGGTCAACCTTGCGTGTGAGTGAAACTTTTTGCTGCTTGTAATCTTCTTCATGGAACAGATTTCATTTATCACGTCTATTTATCCGAACACTTTTTGATGAAAATCAAATTAATGATATTCATTTTATTGTATTAATTTCTGAAAATTTAAATTTCTCAATCCAAAACAATCCTTGTATATTTTGTATTTCTTTAATGTGCTCCACTAGTGGTGGGTTTCCTTGCATGGATGATGAAGAATTTCACTGGATGCAGTGGTCATTCATATGTGGGGATAAGTGAAAAGTGAAGGCAGCGCAATGTTCTTTTTTTCTTTCTTTCTTAATGTTGAAACATTTGCTCTGCTCTGACTGACTGGATTGTATTTGCAGCCCACAGTAGACATCAAAACAGTGTTAGCTCAGTTAATGGACAGGTTGTCAAATTATGCTGCCTCAAGTTCTGAAGTAAGTATTGTGCACCTTTGTCATAAGTTACACTCCCAATTGTTTATTGATATAATTTGTCTCAGGTATTACCCGAATTTTTGCAAGTGGAAGCATTTACCAAACTAAATACTGCAATAAGCAGGGTAAGCTGCACACTTTCTGGTGTTCAAAACTTTTACACAAACCTGCTCTGTGAGAACTAAGAAAAAGATATCCCTATATAGCTACAGACTGTGAAGGAACAAATGTGATGATTTTTTCCAATGTATTTTTTTCCCTTTGTGATTAATGTTTTTCAGCAATTTGTTTGAACCAAAACTGAATCGTAAAATTGTACCTCTAGAATTCATGAAGCATTGTTTCTGTTCTAATATTTCTTTTTCTTGTTTCAAAGTTCTTTCTCTGTTCTTTTTTAACTACCGCATTTGTTGGGAAAAAATTGCTCCTGTTTAGTTGTCGTTCAAAATTCATTGCAACATTAATTATTAGTTTGTCAATAATACCCTTAACTATTTATTACTGAGAGAGAAATCAATGAAATGAGATGATATAGTTAAGGGTATCATAGGAAAAACAAATAATTCCATTAAAAGTAACAAAATTTATTGATTGTTTTAGTATGTCTAAATAATCTTTAAACAACAACTTAAAAGGAATGGAGGGAGTATTAGAAGTTGTATGGGTTGGCAGTGCACTGTTGGAGTAGCCAAAGCTATATAATGTTGTCATCCTGCTTTCAGTTGGTGTCACATTATAATCATTTGGTTTTAATAATTACACCATGTTCCCTTTGGACCAACCTCCCAAATAAAAGAGAAAAAGTTAGGGAGAAAGAAAGGAACAGTGTCTCTTCTTTGTGCCTGCTAATTATGCTTTTTATTGTGTGGGCTGTGGATTTGTAGTCCAAGACCTTAACCTGCATTTGACTGCAGGTGATAGAAGCACAGGTTGACATGCCTATTGTGGGTGCAATAGCTTTACATGTATCTCTTCTTACATTTACTCTCCGTGTTCATCCAGACCGACTTGATTATGTGGATCTAGTACTGGTATGTTATTTTTTCAAACATCACTGACAACATCTTCTTGATCCGCTGTTTTCATATGATATTTTGTGGATAGGATTTTCATTTAGTAGCTAAGCTGCCTCTTTTCTGAAATTGATGCAGGGATCATGTGTCAAGAAGCTGTCTGGAAAACCAAAGCTTGATGACAGTAGAGCAACAAAGCAAGTTGTTGCACTTTTAAGCGCCCCACTTGATAAATACAATGATGTTGTGACTGCACTGACACTTTCTAATTATCCTCATGTAATGGATCATCTTGATAATGTAACAAATAAAGTCATGGCTCTGGTTATCATCCAAAGCATTATGAAGAATAACACTTACATATCCACTGCCGATAAGGTACATTACATTACCTTGCTGTTGGTTAATCATAACAATTTTATCTCTATGTAATAATATTCTATTTGCTTTTGTAGGTTGAAGTTTTATTTGAATTAATAAAAGGGCTTATAATGGATTTGGATGGAACTTCTGAGGATGAGGTATGCCTGATACTATCATTGTTTTTAATCTTTTGCTTGTAAGGTACAATTGCTATATGTGCAACCTGTACATTTTCAAATGTATCTTGAAAATTCTTTATTTGACCAAACCAAACTTGTTAAATATATCGGTGTATTTCTTGAAACTTGTTAAATATATGTGTATTTCTTGAATAAGCATATTATTTGCTCAACCTCGACCCAATTTTAATACTTTTTTAATCTTACCCCGTAGATCGACGAGGAAGATTTCAGTGAGGAACAAAATTCTGTTGCTCGCCTCATAAACATGCTTCATAATAATGACCCTGAGGAAATGTTCAAGGTAAATACAAGTGTGTTAAGAGTCTTATTGAGTTCTCAGGTATTTCTCTATCAACTCCTACACCTAACTTGTGACCTACTCTACTTCAGATAATATGTACAGTAAAGAAACATATTATGAGTGGAGGACCGAGGCGCCTACCTTTCACCATTCCTTCTCTTATATTTTCTGCACTTAAGGTATCTTTCTTCCTTTTTCATACTATATATGTCTTCATTGTCTACTATATTTAGCATGCTTCTTAAGCAGAACTCTACGTTGTGAATTATTTGGATGGGGCTGCCAGGTACTGTCAGGTCCATGTTCCATAATAAATACATCAATCAATTATAGATGGCTTCGTTAATCAACCCCGTAAGTTAAGCTTGTGAAAGCATTTGTACACATTTGCAAAATGTTGTGCAATGGCAATGACTTCAACTTTAGAGTGTCAGTTTTAAATTTATGATTTAATGGTCAAATCTCAAATTATTTTAATGTTGTGTGGCTTTTATTGTGACAAATATTATGTCATCATATTAATTATTACATGAATTGTACGCCTCCCTGTCTAAATAGATTTACATGTTATGTGTAAAGAGCTCAGCTCTTCCTGTCTTGTTTTTCAATTTTGAGTCATGCTTTACTGCAGTTGATCAGACAATTGCAAGGCCTAGATGGAGACATAGCAGGAGAAGAAGAACCTGCAACACCCAGAAAAATATTTCAGATTTTAAATGAGGTGAATTAAAAATGTACTCTGCACTTCAAGAGTAATTTAGTTTCGCTTCACAAGCCCATACTTACAACTTTAAAACATTCTTCATTGAACTATCTTGAAACTTTTTTAAAAAAAATAAAATTTATCGCATTCTGTGTAGTAAGCTAAGTCATATCTGATATAGATGTTTTTTTTTGCATCATATATTATCATCATCATGTGATGGAATAATAACAGTATTTTTGATACAGACCATTGAAGTTTTATCTTCTGTATCATCGCCTGAACTGGCCCTGAGACTGTATCTGCACTGTGCTGAGGTATGCTCGAACTTACAAACTTAAATGGTCAAATTTGTTTTGCTTTTGTTTCCCCCTTCACTCCCCAACAGCCATCACAATACAAAGAAAATGGGACTACATATTAAATTGGGGTTTCAAAACTGATTCTCTGCGTTTGCCACCCTCTGCCGCCCAAAACATATTTTATGGGCATACTTTTTTCCTGTGAGATTTAGGGGTTTAGCTCCTTAGGATGAATAGGGAAATGATTTTTATGGGTTTTTCGCACAATGCTTTGCTAGTAATGCTGGGAAAAGAGCACGCAACCACCTAAAATTCTGCGCCCTTTGCAAATTAATAGACACATCGATGTTAGAAGGAAATGGTGAGGAATATTAAAAATACTCACTCAAAATGGACAGCAAAATAACTGAATGCGCAGACAAGTGGTAATTGGGACTGGGGATTGTGATGATGTAATCATGGGAAATGGGAGGAGGCTGGTTACTTATGAAGGGAGTGAAAGGGAATACGTTGAATGGAGGCATGTAATAATATTTTGGAAAAGGCTTGGGCAAGCATTACGCTGAAGAGAGTTTATCTCCTGTTTTTGTACTAGGAGTCTCTGCATTTTGTGCTTTTTCTCCTCACTTTACAGTTATTTCTTCTAATTTTAAGGGGCATAGCTCCATATATTCATATTTTCTAATACATATATCTGGACTCTATCACAAATATGCAACTTGAACTTTCACTTCTCTACAAATTTAAACTTCTAGTATTGTGATAACTGATAAGTATCTAAGCACTTCTAGAACCCATCACTTCTCTCCAAATTTTAACTTTATTGTTTTCCCGACATTATTATGGTTTCTTTATCCCAATTAAGATGAAGTCAGTCATTTTGGACCATTGTTTTAGTGACTTCTTAATACATATTTTCTGTGATTATCAGGCTGCTAATGACTGTGACCTTGAGCCCGTTGCTTATGAATTTTTCACTCAGGCATTTGTATTATATGAAGAAGAAATTGCGGTACTTGCTAATAAGGCCATCTTTTTTATGATTTTCTTTGTGACCAAGATGACCTTTTCTAATCTCTTCGTATATAATGATTTAGGACTCTAAAGCCCAGGTAACTGCAATACATTTAATTATTGGGACTCTCCAGAGAATGAACATCTTTGGCGTTGAGAACAGGGATACATTAACACACAAGGCCACAGGGGTATGTTACTGATTACTTGTTTTCCTTTCTCTCCTCTTTTTCTTTAAAGGTGTGTTTTGTTGTGAGATGATAATAAGAAGAGAGAAAGAATGTGTGAAGAGAAATAAATGTGAGAAAAAGAGTAGGTTATTGTGGAGGGAAAGGGAACATTAGGGCATTATTCAAACTCTCCTCTCTCAAACTGAGCTTGTCAGAATAATAATAAATGACTATATTGAAATGTTACACCTCCAGTAACTCATTCGCTTCCTTCACTAATCAGTCATGCATGTGGATAAAAAATTCACTATAAGTTAAGGTTGTATGATGAATTTTCTCAGGATTACGGCCATTAGACAAATGGTTTGTGAACCATATATGACATTCTATCCTTTTGCAGTATTCAGCAAAGCTTTTGAAGAAACCTGATCAGTGTCGAGCTGTCTATGCATGCTCACATCTCTTTTGGGTTGATGATCAAGACGGTATTAAGGATGGAGAAAGGTATGATGTTAAATACTCAAGTTGGTTTAATTGGGTTGATTTTATTGATTTCTATAACATTGGGGTTCATGAAGCATTATGTTATGGCCCTTTGTCTTGGATCGTGTTGACACAGTCCTAGACGCGGTAGAAGCCTTACTTCGACCTATGGTGAAAGCAGAAGTGGGCTCGTCCTTGCATTTTCTTAAATTCACAAATTCTTTTTTGATAATAATGATTGATGATATTTATTGATAATCTAAAATGCCTTTAAATAGGCTTACAGGAGAATAAGTATCCCTAATAAAATTAGGTCAATAACTACTTTTCGCTAAAATTACTATCATTTAAATTTAAATGATAACAATCCTAGTTAATAAATAGATTCTGTTATGATCCCTAAATCCTATCCTAAAATTACTTAAATTCAAATTTAAAAATTCTGTTATGCTAACTTATTAAAATTAAATAAATAAACAATTAAGTCCTACTCAACAGAATTAATTCTAGTCAACAGCAGAATTAGAGGTCTTCCTCTTTTGATATTGCTTTCCCACAATTGCATCCATATCACATTATTGCATTATTTATCAAATGTAATGTCACTGCATCATTGATGTATGGGCTTCTGAGTTGCCACTTTTCTTGTCTTGTGGTTTTTCTTTTGGAGATGGGTTGTTGACAGTCTGATTACAGGGTGTTGCTTTGTCTCAAGCGCGCGTTGAGGATTGCAAATGCTGCTCAGCAAATGGCCAGTGTAGCCAGGGGTAGCAGCGGCCCAGTTACGCTTTTTGTTGAAATACTGAACAAGTCAGTCACCCTCAGCTATTAACTGTTTGGTGTACTATTTTCATGGCTTTTTTTACTGACGGATAGTTATGTTCCAGGTACATATACTATTTTGAGAAAGGAAATCCACAGATCACTAGTGCTACTATTCAGGGGCTTATAGAATTAATCAAGACTGAGATGCAGAGCGACTCTGCATCGGTTCTTCCAGTTTCAGATGCTTTCTTTGCTAGCACACTGAGGTACATTCAATTTCAAAAACAGAAGGGCGGTATATTGGGTGAAAAGTATGATTCTATCAAGGTCTAAATCACACTACTTTGTGGTGAACTAACTTATTCTAGATGATGCTCAAATGTATAATTATGTGGAATACCAATCATGTATTTAATTGGTGTTCATCTTCAACCCAACAACAAAAAAAGTTTATCAATGTTCATCACTTGTGCATAAAAATTGCATTATCATCAAGGTCACTTTTACAACACAGTTTGAATATGCATTTTAATCATTCATAGTGGGATGTCTCTTGACCGTGCATTAAAATGTTTGCAGTGGCAACAGGGTCATTTTACAGCATAATTGACATTTGCTGTTTAATTGAATATTTGCAGCTCACTCGGCTATGATTGGTTCGACTAATAATATGTCAGGCTCATTTGATTAAATTTTTTTGTTAAATAATCATTAAAAATATGGTTAATATCCAATCTGTCCACTATCATTTGCCATTTTAGGCAAATACGAAAAAAGTCCTCGGAAAAAATAGCACATTACACCTGTGAATTTAGGGGTGGACAAAAACCCGTAATCCATTAAAATGCACAAAAATCAAATTTTTATTTATTATATGTATTTATTTTTTGTTATTTATTTAAATAATAAAAATTAAAAAAATTAAAATTAAAATAATATTTAATCAATAATAATAATACAAATAAAATATTGTTGAAAGCAATATTTTTTTATTTACACAATAAAAAAATTACACTAAACTCATTCAATTTTGAATTTGAGCCGGTCAATTAAAGTGGTGGTGGGTTTCACATGCAGAAGCTTGTCGAATTCAGTTAGATTTTTTACGATTTTCTTTAATAGAAGGTTCCGCGTCATTTTTAGGATCCATTAATTTAGTGACCATTTCATAATTTTTTTCATCATTTAATATGTCTATTGTCGTCGCATTCTTATAACTTAATAAATTTTTCTCATTATTCTAGTTTGTTTGGGTAGTAGGGTTATGCATCAAGGGTTGTGTTGGGTCGCATTCTCATAACTTAATAAATTTTTCTCATTATTCTAGTTTGTTTGGGTAGTAGGTGACTTTGAGTTATGCATCAAGGGTTGTGTTGGGTTAAAAAATTGTTGGGTGTTACATGTAGGTTGTTGGGTAGGGGTGAAAATAGGCTGGGTCGAGCTAGACTTTGTCAAGTCTAAGCATGCCTTGCCAAAAAATCTGAAGCCTAAATTATGTTATAGTCTGTCATAGATTTATTTTTAAGACTGAACTTAATTTTTTCGAAGGTCTGGTTAGCCTGTTATCCTAAATAAAAGCCTATTTATTTTAGAATATATAAATAAGCAATTCATATAATGTTTATATAAACTAAAAAACTAAAAGACCAAGACTTATTTAAACTTATTTATTAGCATAAATTTTGTGAGACTATTTGCTTAAGAGAACTTATGAAAACAACTTATAACATTGTTCATAAGGTGTTTTCATCTTATTTTCATAAATTATCCAAGATAATTAAATTTTATTTATGTATTTTAATTCAAAGTATAAAAGATAATGACCTGTTATGAGTCTATGTAGGCTAGGCCGTAGGCCACTGCTAGTCAGTCCAGCCTATTTCCACCCTTATTGTTGGGTATAAGTGTTGGTTGATGATTTGGTGTCTTGGAAGTTTGAAGATATGAGTTGGTTACGAGGGTAAACTAGTAATCTATTTTGTGATAGATACAACGCGCACACACACCCGGATATATATATATATATATATATATATATATATATATATATATATATATATATATATATATATATATATATATATATATATATATATATATATATATATATATATATATATATATATATATATATATATATATATATATATATATATATATATATATATATATATATATATATATATATATATATATATATATATATATATATATATATATATATATATATATATATATATATATATATATATATATATATATATATATATATATATATATATATATATATATATATATATATATACATACATATTAATTCATGTATTTTCTACTAGGTTTACATTCGTTTGACATAATATCTCCTTGTAAGACATTGTTGCGAAGCTCTTGTCTATATGATCTTTCCAAATTGAAAACATCCATGGTTAGACATCTAACTTTTGTGTTACTCCTCCATGGACCTAGGTGGAACCGATATTTTTCGTTGAACCCCAAATTGGAGTTTTATCTTATTTGAATGATGCATTTTTACAGTAGTGAAACAAATTAAAAGCATTGTTAAATTTCACATGTCACTTTCAGTTGGATCCTCATATTCAAGTTTAAGATAGGGCCTTTATAGAAACTGTTACATAGTAGTAAAAATGATTAGTTAAAAAAATTACAGAAAAACTTTAAATAATAGTAGTATATTCTTAAAGAAAATACATCATTCACCTCTAAATGATCGAACAACGCCTGATATCCAGGAGTACAATGATGTTTTTTTTCTTCCATAATTCAACCCATATGCGGACCACCTAAAAAATAGTTATTAGAAAATACCTAGAAAAACATATCTAAAAAATAATAATTTGGTTTATACGTACTTGGTCGTATATGGAAACTAGAATGGATTGAGATTCCTTGGTGACAGTCCAGACATTTTGTATAGATCCGCTAAAGTAGCAATGCCTTAACTATATCTACCTGTTTTGTTTATGTCTATTAATAATGGTAAAAACTGAATATTTATAGTGTTACCATTAGTATCAGGAAATAATAAGCTGACAAAAAGCAATAAAAGATACATTCTAGTTTTCTAAAGTTTTACTTCATCGGAGAATTCTCGTCCATTTTTAAAGCATTGTAATGGTCCTTTAGCCATTTCAATTTAATGTTTTGCCCTTTTCTATCACTTTTCTTCAATGGCACCCCAATAGTTTTAAAGGTGCCTCTTATGCCACATTTGCGCGTCCAATTACTGCCAAACCATTTAAACGTAAACTTAAGAACATGTGTACATCCTCCACTCCATAGTGACTATGCATTCACCTATTGAAAGATGAAACATGTGAGTTTCCAGTCTCCATCTTTTGCCTAAGGCGAGAATAAGTTTTCTATCAACATAGTATGAAGTTATATTGATAACGTGACCAAAGCTCACTTACAGAAATGTTGCTCATTTTGAGAACAACCATGTTAAATTTTTTCCATTGAAGGTTCGAGGCGACGAAAATGTTTGTGAATAATTAACTTTCTAGGTTTGATTACATTTATTAATATATATATATATATATATATATATATATATATATATATATATATATATATATATATATATAAGATTTGAACAATGTAAACAAATTCAAATGTCAAAGATAATCAATGCATCAGAAGAAGATTCAACAACTATAATTCCCAAGAAAGATATTAAAGAAGATGATGATGAAGAAAATGAGGCACAAACCGATCATTATTTTACTTCTTTGTTTGAAAAAGGCGATCATGTCGAATTAGAGGCAGTTGGCGTAGATGATCAACACATTTTAGTTGGGAATGTATTTTTCCCACCTCCCCACATGACAAACTTGTGTCTAAGTGTTGGCCAACCATCCTTTGAATGGCCACACAATCCCCATCTTCCCATGGATATTGACTTACTTATGGGTAACCAATTTAAAAATGAAGCTGATTTCGTGCTTGCCATAAAGAAATATCGCATGAAACATTGTGTTGATTATAAGGTAAATACTTATGATAACAAGAGTTATATAATATGTTGTAGAAATGTTTTGTGTAAGTTTTGTCTATTGGCGCCCTATAGAAAAAGAAGTGACTTATGAGAGATATGCCTTATGAACCCTCAACATAGTTGTACAATAAATATTCTTATGATCATTGAAGACTTAGCTCTCACCTAATGTGTCAATATTTAATGCCTCTTATAAGAAATTATCATTTAACCAAGGTGAGCGTTTGTATCAGTCAAGTTGTGTTTGAACACAAATTTACTCCACCAAACTAAAAAAACATGGATTTCGAGGAATAAAACAATTGAACAAGTATATGGAATCATACAATGAACTTCCATATTACTTGTTAACACTTAAAAGATTTACTCCCGGTACAATTGTAGAAATGGAGACGCTACGCAAATATACGTATGACGACACTATTGTTGATGGGCAACAAATCTTCCAATGGCTACTCTGGGCATTTTAAACATGCATTAGATGTCTTTCATATTGCAAGCCTATACTTCAAATTGATGAAATTTGGTTGTATGATAAATAAAATGAAACATTACTTATGGCAGTAACATAAGATGGGAACAAAAATATTTTCCCAATTGCCTTTGCCCTCATAGAAGGTGAGACTGCGGGTGGTTAGGGGTTCTTTCTACAAAACTTACAAAGGCATGTGGCTCATCAACCAGGTTTATATTTGATATCAGACATACATGCATTGACTAAGAGTGTGTACAACAATTTCAATAACAGATGGCATGATCCACCATCTGTGTGTGTCTACTGTATTAGACACATTGCTCAAAATTTCATGAGGGAAATTAAAGACAGAAACCTCCAAAAAAAAGTTCCTAACATGGGTAAGTATTTATTTTCTAACATTATATCTTAGTTAATAAAAGATTATAACATTATAACACTTATTTTTTTGTAGCATGCAAGGTATGCTTTAAACCGACCAAGATTTGAATATTATCGAAAAGAAATTACTTTAGCTAATGCCTATGTTTTAAGGTGGTTGGACAATATTCTAGTTCAAAAATGGACGCAAGCATTTGACGAGGATCGGTGTTGGGGTCATATGACAATGAACCTCGATGAGTCAATAAAATCAGTCTTTAAAGACACTCGTAATCTGTCCATCGCAACATTGATAAGTGCAACCTACTATATGATAGAACCACTATTTGCGGAAAGAGGTGCACAAGGGAGTGCAGTGTTGGAATCCGGGAAAACATTTGCATTAAATTTCATGAAGGTAATGAGAGAATAAACAACAAAATCTAACACGCATCAGGTAACCTATTTTGACTATCAACGTCA